GTAAATCTCATTGTGGAAATGTGGCTATATTCTCAGTGTTCACATGTAGCTATAATCTCAGTGTTCACATGTAGCTATAATCTCAGTGTTCACATGTAGCTATAATCTCAGTGTTCACATGTAGCTATAATCTCAGTGTTCATGTGTGGCTATAATCTCAGTGTTCACATACGACTATAATCTCAGTGTTTACATATGGATATAATCTCGGTGTTCACACATAAGCATAATGTCACTAGTCACCTACCGTCGCGGATAAGGTTGTCCTCCATGTATGGGTGCAGAAATCTATCCTCAGGCGTGGTTTGATTGGCAACTATCCTGTGCGCCCTTTGCCTCAATCCCTTCTTCTCTGCGTTGAGCTGTTGCTTCATCATCTCCTTCTCCTGCAATGCTTCTAGGTCTTTTAGGTTCTGCACTGCATCTGCCAGTGAACCACGACTCATTAGGAATACAGTGATCGCAGCTACACAGATCATTGGCAGGTTTATCTTCAGGGCCATGTTCGATGTTGTTTGTAATCTAAAGTTTGCTCCAAGAAAGACTTGAGTAATCTGTAGACTGTTAAATAAATACAGACATAAGTATGAAATATGATCGTGTGTTTATATTTATTTACCGGGCAGTGGTGGGTAAACTATGGTGCCTGCACGGCGAGTGCCAGTGGAGTTATTTCCATGGGAGAATTTAACTACCATAGATGGTTTTATTGAACTAATTAATAAAAAATTAAAAAATGCAACTCTCGTAAAGACCCAGTTGTGATATTTCAACAAAGATGTCGTACAACAATTGTAGCGGAGTTGAGTTGCAAGTTGACACGCTAATCGGCTTTTTTGTATTAGTTAGGACACAGTAGAGGGCTGCCTATTGCTGGTGACTGGGAAGAATGTGGTCTGGTTGAGCAGGGGTGATTGGTGAATTGCCAGGAAGACTGAACTTTCACTTCCAACTCTGAAAAGTTGGCATTAAGGTAGTTGAATTGTTAAGATGGGCTTTGCATTCGTCGATGTGGTGTAGATGAGGTTACCTTTGTCCGTGCCCAGAATCGTGTTGCAGTCACACAGTTAGTTAAATATACTTAACGATTAACTTATGTGAAACATTATTTGATGTAAAATTATATTTGCCCCTTTCAGTTTTCCGATCCTTTCTTCCTCTTGTAACTGATGATAGTTCATCCTGTGTGGCATTGATAATTATGTTTGCCCACATCCCCGTGTCTCTTGCACTGTCGTTAATCAGATCGGATAAAGTGTGGCATTGATAATTATGTTTGCCCACATTCCCGTGTCTCTTGCACTGTCGTGAATCAGATCGGATAAAGTGTGGCATTGATAATTATGTTTGCCCACATTCCCCTGTCTCGTGCACTGTCGTTAATCAGATCGGATAAAGTGTGGCATTGGTAATTATTTTTGCCCACATCCCCGTGTCTCTTGCACTGTCGTTAATCAGATCGGATAAAGTATGGCATTGGTAATTATGTTTGCCCACATCCCCCTGTCTCGTGCACTGTCGTTAATCAGATCGGATAAAGATGTTTTCCAGTCTTGTACAGCACGAATGCATCGGACTGTAGAGATATCTCTTGCTTCCCATAGGACTGACAACCTGTCTATATTGACAACCTGTCTATATTGACAACCTGTCTATATTGACAACCTGTCTACAGTGACAACCTGGCTACAGTGACAACATGTCTGCATTGACAACCTGTCTACATTGACAACCAGCCTACACTGAAAACCTGTCTACATTGACAATCTGTCTGCATTGACAACCTGGCTACATTGACAACAGGTCTGCATTGACAACCTGTCTACACTGACAACCTGACTACACTGACAACCTGTCTACATTGACGTCTACATTGACAACGTCTACATTGACAACCTGTCTGCATTGACAACATGTCTGCATTGACAACCTGTCTACACTGACAACCAGTCTACACTGAAAACCTGTCTACATTGACAATCTGTCTGCATTGACAACCTGGCTACATTGACAACATGTCTACATTGACAACGTCTACATTGACAACATTTCCGCATTGACAACCTGCCTACATGAACATCCCGTCTACAATGACAACCTATAAAGTTAGAGGGTCTGCATGGCCAAGTGGACGAGTTGTTTACCCGGCGCTCTTACTGTGTACAAGTTTGATTCTTTTATGGAGACCCTTATGGGTCGTAGTAGGAGTTGAGGAATGTGTACTTTGTGAGACATTCTCGACAGGCAGCTAGCCAGTCTGTAGAAACAGTCCCGGTCATATGCGATAAAATCAAATTTCAAAAAGTCAATACTCTGGCTTGTACCCCTGCATATCAAGGAGCTGGCTACCCATAGAGACGGCAAGTAAATAACACAAACTTTAACACTACGGTAGGCAAAATTTATCAATAAGGGACACACAACACGTGGTCAGTAAGGGACTAACTATGCTGGGGAAGCTAGAACACTCGTTCACAACATGCACTGCACAGAATACATCATCACCACAGACTGTTTCCTCCACTGCAACCACAGACTGTTTCCTCCACTGCAACCACAGACTGTTTCATCAACGGCAACCACAGACTGTTTCGCCAACGGTGGACATGGGCAAACGTCATTCTCCACATCAAATATAGGACCACTAATCTCAACGATTTCGTGAGATGTTTTGAGCAATGAAGGACCCAGCAGCTGTTGAACTACAAAGCGTGGCCGGTCAGAGAAAAAGTACGGACAGAAATCGAAATGAGCGTTTTGGTATCAGAAACAATCGACAAATGTCATGCTTCCTCACAAGACAGCTCTAAATAGTACTAAAAAGGACACAGTCCTAGTTTATGAACGTCCATCAAGAACAATCGTAATATAAATAAACAACAACAAAATGTAGGTTACATGTGACAGTAATTGTAGAAGCATGCGGACGACACCGTGGACACGTTAAAGAAGCAGGCAGAAGTTTGTTTTGACGTCTCTTCTCACTTTTTCTAATGTATAAAATACACATTTTTTTTTCAATATACCAACAAAGAAACAAAATGCAGATGTCAAAGATGAGTTATTGTGGCCGGTGGTGTCAGTCTGCACCCCATTGCAAATACTGTTCTTTCACATCTTTTTATAATTATCTGTCTGGGGTTTCGCGTCTCTATAATTACCCCCCCCCCCCCTTTCTCTCTCTCTCTCTCTCTCTCTGTGTGCTCTGAGATTTATTTTCTCTTGAAACTGCATTTCTATCTCATAAATTATCTACCCACCTGTGCAATTATTTCTGTCTCATTAATTATCTACCCACCTATGCAATTATTTCTGTCTCAGTAATTATCTACCCACCTGTGCAATTATTTCTCTCTCAATAATTATCTACCTATCTCTGCAATTATTTCTCTCTCATTAATTTTCTACCTATCTGTGCAATTATTTCTGTCCCATTAATTCTCTACCTATCTGTGCAGTTATTTCGGTCTCATTAATTCTCTATCTGTGCAATTATTTCTGTCTCATTAATTCTCTACCTATCTGTGCAATTATTTCTCTCTCATTAATTCTCTACCTGTCTGTGCAATTATTTCTCTCTCATTAATTCTCTACCTATCTGTGAAGTTATTTCGGTCTCATTAATTCTCTACCTATCTGTGCAGTTATTTCGGTCTCATTAATTCTCTACCTGTGTAATTTTTTTCCGTCCCATTAATTCTCTACCTATCTGTGCGGTTATTTCGGTCTCATTAATTATCTATCTGTGCAATTATTTCGGTCTTATTAATTCTCTACCTATCTGCAATTATTTCTGACTAATTATTTCTATCTCATTTTTTCTCTACCCACCTGTGCAATTATTTATGCCTACCTATTTGGCGCCAAAACAGAAGTCTTTTTTTCTCTCTGTCTCACTTTGTTGCTTTTTCTGCTGCCCCCCCCCCCCCAATCTTTTTTTTTTTGTCGTTCTCTGCTGCTTTTTTTTTTGAAAGCCTCTCGATCTATGTATGTCCGCATCTGTATGGCTCTTTATTTGTGTGTCGATATCGTTTGTGTATCTGTATTTGTGTATTGCTGTATCTACAACGCTTTCCTCGTGTGTGTGTGTATGTGTCTGTCTGTCTCTGTGTGTGTCTGTGTGTGTGCGCGCGTGTGTGTGCTTCTTTTTTTTTTTTTTTATAACAGAGAAACTCAGAAGTAGAGCCGTGTACCAAGTTACAACTGAACGATTTTACCAACCGTAGAAGATTATTTTGAAAATCAATGTCCCGACTCTAAGATCCCCAGTATCTTAGATTTGAGGGCAACAGCTGTGAGCTATTTTAAACTGGGCTCTTGGTAACACAAATCAACACGTTGCTAGTGTACACACGTTGCTAGTATACACGTCTGCACTGCCCTGCTGTTTGTCTCAGTGAAGACATGTCTTCTGCTTGAAACCTGTAAGTTGTTTGCCCGAACAGTCTAACTATTCATCTTACTTCAACCTTCATTCGTGCAGTCTTAACGGGTGCTTGTTTCTGTATTATTCCCCGCTTATATTCCCATCAACCGTCGTGCGGGCTAGGACAGCTGAAGATTTTTTTTGCGTCGCAAGGAATCAAGTTGATATATGGACAGCCCCCCCCCCCCCCCCCCCCCCACCGTGCACACAAGGAATATCTATGTAGGACATGTAGCAGAGTTCTTGTGGACCTCTTCATGCCCAAAACTCAACATAGTTGAATAATCTTTTGCCCCAGCCAGGACACACATAACAATCTGACACTGAAAGCCTCTGCTGATGACACCCGAGTTCCAAACTCCGGCTGATGAAACCACAGTTCCAAGCTCCACCAGATGACACCACACTTTCAAGCTCCAACAGATGACACCACAGTTTCAAGCTCCAACAGATGACACCACAGTTCCAAGCTCCACCAGATGATACCAAGTTTTCAGTTATATTCAGTCGTGAACCTCCATGGCTGAGATGTTGGACGTCATCTTTCCCTGAGGATATTCACCTCCTTGATTCTCGACTGCTCCCCCACCCCCCGAGGGTTCCTTAATTAGGGCTTTCCCCGTTTAAAGTCAGAGTGCATCTGCCTGTGAGGCAAGCAACCAACAGTCTGCACACAAATAAACGGATGTGCATGAAAAACTTGTTCTGGAACAAGACCAAAGTCCAGAAGTTTTCAACCAGAAACTTCCACTGGAGGTGTTGTCTGGTGAACACTATGTTGTCTGGTGAACACTAGGTTGTCTGGTGAACACTAGGTTGTCTGGTGAACACTATGTTGTCTGGTGAACACTGTGTTATCTGGTGTACACTGTGTTGTCTGGTGAACAGTATGTTGTCTGGTAAACACTATGTTGTCTGGTGAACACTGTGTTGTCTGGTGAACACTGTGTTGTCTGGTGAACAGTATGTTTTCTGGTAAACACTATGTTGTCTGGTGAACAGTATGTTGTCTGGTGAACAGTGTGTGGTCTGGTGAACAGTGTGTGGTCTGGTGAACACTGTGTGGTCTGGTGAACA